CAAACAGCTCATGCTAGGACCAGCCGTGTAAGCGATGGTATCGGGATGGTGCAGCAGGAAGTCTGGCATGCAAGCGTTGCAAGCGACTCTATGGCGATTCGTCACTGCGCTTAGACCCACCGCACCGTGCCTTCGTCCTCCCCACCTGTGTTTACTCCCGAGGGCCCTGAGCCTGACGCCATGCCAGCTGCGCCAGAAGAAGCGATGCACGAGGTTCCCGATGTGCTTTTCGAATCAACATTTGTTTTTCGCTGGCCAGCTTTTCAGGGCCGTTCCTTGATCTCCACCATGAAGCGGAAGGCGGTTAAGGACAGAGTGCGTAATGAGGAATCGGGAGGAGGGAGGATGCTTTGCTCGGCAGCGAGCCAGGGGGGAAATGAGAAGGAGAAGGTCTTCTCAGAAGGCGGCGGGACTTCTCACCTCAGAAGCCCCCGCGCCTTCTGAGAGGTTTTTTTTCTGTCTTCGTGGAAGGCTTCGAAGACTTCTCGGAAGTCCGGAGGACTTCCGAGCCTTCTGAGAAGGCCCGCCCCTTCTCTCTTCCCCCCCTCACTCGCCGCCGATCTTCATCCTGAGTTGGTTTTTGACTGTCCCGAGAGGGCCCCCAGGGGCCGAAGATAGCGACAAACCTCCCGTCGTGATTTTTTCACCACTCAAGGGGATCTGGGTATCCCCTCAGCATCCCCCGCGCCAATCCCAGTGGGAGTCCACAGTAGGCGCCAATCACCCCTCGCTCGCCGCCGATTCGCTGCTCCGTGTTCTTGCCTCGGGGCTTTGCCGCAGGCGAGACCGGGAAGAGGGAGGGAAGAGGGAGGAAGGCGCCATGGGGGGGGGGAAGGACGCGGGAGGGAGTACGGAGGAGGGGGAGGTTCGTCAGGCTTTTCGAGGGCGTTCTCGAGGGTACCCTCACCTCTTGCCTACTCGGCCCATCCTCAGCCAACCCTTTGCTCACAAAGCTTTGCCTTGGGCGCCCAAGCGGCTTGCATCCTTGCCGCACGTCCCTCTGCACGCATTGACTGATCACTCCGAGGCAGCCGCTGGGCGTACAGCCGTGCCCCGCCGCCTTCCAGCCCGCGCCGCGCTCCTCGTCGTCGAGGCGCTTCCGCGAGCACACGGCCTGCACGCAGGCGAGGATGGAGGCCCGGGGTGCATCAGAGCTTGAGGAGGAGGATGAGGAGGAGGAGGAGGCGGAGGAGGAGGAGGAGGAGGAGGAGGAGAGAAAGAGGAGGAGGAGGAGGAGGAGGAGGAGGAGGAGGAGGAGGAGGAGGAGGAGGAGGAGGAGGAGGAGGAGGAGGAGGAGGAGGAGGAGGAGGAGGAGGAGGAGGCGGAGGAGGAGGAGGAGGAGGAGGAGGAGGAGGAAGGAGGAGGAGGAGGAGGAGGAGGAGGAGGAGGAGGAGGAGGAGGAGGAGGAGGAGGAGGGGAGAGGAGGAGGAGGAGGAGGAGGAGGAGGGAGGCGGAGGAGGAGGAGGAGGAGGAGGAGGAGGAGGAGGAGGAGGAGGAGGAGGAGGAGGAGGAGGAGGAGGAGGAGGAGGAGGAGGAGGAGGAGGAGGAGGAGGAGGAGGAGGAGGAGGAGGAGGAGGAGGAGGAGGAGGAGGAGGGGGAGGAGGAGGAGGAGGAGGAGGAGGAGGAGGAGGAGGGAGGAGGAGGAGGAGGAGGAGGAGGAGGAGGAGGAGGAGGAGGAGGAGGAGGAGGAGGAGGAGAGGAGGAGGAGGAGGAGGAGGAGGAGGAGGAGGAGGAGGAGGAGGAGGAGGAGGAGGAGGAGGAGGAGGAGGAGGAGGAGGAGGAGGAGGAGGAGGAGGAGGAGGGAGGAAGGAGGAGGAGGAGGAGGAGGAGGAGGAGGAGGAGGAGGAGGAGGAGGAGGAGGAGGAGGAGGAGGAGGAGGAGGAGGAGGAGGAGGAGGAGGAGGAGGAGGAGGAGGAGGAGGAGGAGGAGGAGGAGGAGGAGGAGGAGGAAGGCCCCCTCCCCCGTAAGGCCCGCGCAAGGGCGGCCCTGCCCCGAGAGCCCTCCTCGGCACGCCGGCGTCGGGCCAGCCCCGGCGCCGCCGGCCTGCCAGGGCTCCTCTTTCGCCAGCCGCTGGCGTTAAGTCGGGCATCTCCCTCTGCAGGAGGAGAATTCAAACATAGTCAAGAGCACAACAAGCATTTTCTTCTTGTTGTTATTATCACCATTCTTAGTACCATTCTCATCATCATGATTATTGATATTGTTAGTTTTCGTATTATTGTTGTTGCTATTCGTATGATGATTCGTACATGGATTTGTATTATTATTATTATTATTATTACTACTACTATTATTATTGTTGTTAGGTATTCATTATCACTATTACCAATGATGTTGCTATTTTCGTCATCATTATTGTTGTTATTATTGTTGCTGTTGCTGTTGTTGTATGTATGTATGTATGTCTGTATGTCTGCATGCATGCATGCATGCATGCATGCATGCATGCATGTATGTATGTATGTATGTATGTATGTATGTATGTATGTATGTATGTATGTATTATTATTGTTATTGCTAGTAGTCTTATTATCAGTATCATTCGTAGTATTCTCATTATACAATCTTATCATTGTTAGTGTTTAATATTATTAGTGCTATTTATATTTTTACCATTCTGATTTTTTTTTTTTTTTTTTTTTTGATATTACGGTTCTTATTATTATTATTCTCATTATTATTATTAGTATTATTGTTACTATTCTTATTCGTATTAATTTAAGACAACATCGCCCAACATCCGCCAGTAGGAGGACATGCCCGACCTCACGCTGGCGGGGCGGGGCGGGGCCGTCGGACCATCGGGGGGCCCTCGCCATGAAGGACACGGGTCCCGAGGAAAAGTCTGGGCCTCCCAGAGGGGGTCCGAGTAGATCCAGGCGAGCGCAAACATGGTTCAACGGGGGCGTGGACTACTCCAGATTTCGTCATAAAGGGAGGGGGGTCTCATTTCGGGGGGGGGTCTCTTCCAGGCTATCTTGGAGGGCCTAGGGGGTCTGGGGACGGTGTTTTGGAGGGTTCTCCCACGGGGGAGGTCTGAAATGGCTTGTCTTGGAGGGTCCAGACCCCCTCCCTTTTATTACGAAATCTGGAGTAGCGACGGTTCCCGTTTCCATGGGAAATCGCGGATTGCCGCCGCCGAGCGAGGCGGCGCCGGCCGCATTTTGGGATGGGCACCTCCGCCGATCCATGGATCTGGCGACCGCCGAATCCATGGATCGCTAATCCATGTTTACGCGCCCCCGATAGATGGGGTTGGAGGATCGCGCGGCATCGCATGCATCGACGATGTGGCTCGATGTGGAGCGCGTGTTTCCCCACGCCGGCGTCGCCGATGCATCGTCGATGCATCGCCGATGCATCGCCGATACCTCGGCGATGCATTGGCGATGCGGCGCAATCCTTCGACCCCATGTTCTCGGAGCCCATCTAGGAGGCCTCTAAGGACGGGTCCTGAGGTGCATCGCCGTGCTCGAACTCCTGAGGCCCCCCACGAGCCTCCGGGCCGTCAGGGAACGACTCCCGGGGGAGAGCCAGTCCCGGGGCAAGGCCCCGAGGTCCAGGACCCGTGTCTCACAGGACCCGCTTCCTGCAGGGGCGGCCGAACCGACCCTTCGCAAACTTATCCCCTTCTGTGACGTCCCCCTCGCCTCGCCCCAAGGCGTATGTATGCGTCTGGAGGGAACCTTGCGAGGCGAGGATGGAGACTTTTTGCGTCGGCGGCTCGGCAGAGGAACTGCGCTGGCGAGGAGCTACCGCTTAGCGGGGGTGCCGTTGCAGCGAGTTGCGCCACCGTGCAGGAGGAGGGGACAGGGCAGAGGAAGCGGGCGGAAAGGGGGGCGGGAGGGGAGCGAGGCCGCTCAGGGGGACGCGAGGATGGAGACACGGAAGGGCCCAGACCCCGGACGCAATGATCTGTTCATTGCGTCGACACCCAGAGGTCCCGACCCTTTCCCCATGACCGGCTTTGCATCCCGAGTCGTTCTTCGACGCTCCCGAGGCCCGGTGGGGGCCCCCAAAAGGCCGAACATTTGGAAAAACCTGCCGTCGTGATTTTTGCACCACTCGAGGGGAGAGCACGCTGCTTCGCATGACGTTGACGCCAATGAGGGAAATCATGGATTGGGTCCGTAAGTGGAGCAGTCTGGTTCTTTGATGGTGGAAGCTATGATGCTTCTTTGAGTGGTGGGCCGGCTCATGATGTCGGGCCGGACGAAAGGGGGGGATTGGGGAAGGGGGGGTACGAAATTTGCTGCATGCAGCTGGTTTCGGCCTCACCGAGGGGCCCATTCCTCGATACACAGCCGCCTCCGGCGCCGGGAGGCGCCGGGAAAATCAGCTACGTGAGCTGATTCCCAAACCCCTCCCTTTGCTATCCCCCCCTTTCGCCCGACCCGATGATGCCAGTCCCTGCCCACCCCGTCCCGTCTCCAGGGACCTCGCGTCCCCCTTGTGATGGTGGGGTGGGGAGACGGTCCG